ACATTTCAGTGGTGGAAACAAAACCCGCTGCACACTGCTGCCAACTAGCGGGTGGCGATTGAATTGCGCAAAACGAAAAGAAAATACACAAATATTTGCATATCAATTCTTTCAGGAATTAGATACACAGCTTTTGAATATCGATGTAAGAATCGCAGGAAAAAATATCACGATATATTGCCATATCGATATATCCGATACACGGTTTTTGAATATCGATGTTATTGCTGGGGAAAAATATCACGATATATTGCCATATCGATATTGTCTTACATCCATATTGACAGCCCTACAACATCTATAGCCTTGAGATACCCAGGACGAACCTCATCCGCCCCCGGGGCTCCACCGCTGTGTAGTTGTTTGACTACCTCAGCAACTTCTGCCCCCGAGATTGGACAGTCCATCCCCAGGTCTCCCGGATCTGGTTCCTCCTCGGATTGCGCATAGGTGGTATTGAGGAGCTCCTCAAAGTATTCCTTCCACTGTCCGACTATTGCCCCAGTTGACGTCAGCAGCTCCCCATCCCCACTGTAAACAGTGTGAGCGAGTTGCTTCTTTCTTCTCCTGAGGCGCCGGACAGTTTGCCAGAACCTCTTTGGAGCCGATAGATAGTCTTTCTCCATGGCATCACCAAACTCCTCCCACGCCCGAGATTTTGCCTCGGCAACTGCCACTGCTGCACCCCGCTTGGCTATCCGGTACCTGTCTGCTGCCTCCGGAGACCCACAGACCAGCCACACCCTGTAGGCCTCCTTCTTCAGCCTGACGGCTCCCCGAACCTCTGGTGTCCACCAGCGGGTACGGGGGTTGCCACCACGACTGGCAACGGCCACCTTGCGGCCACAGCTAGCAACAGCCGCCTCAACAATCGCAGAATGGAACAAGGCCCACTGGGAGTCAATGTCCCCCACTGCTCTCGGGACGCGGTCAAAGCTCTGCCGGAGGTGGGAGTTGAAGACCATCTTAACAGGTTCTTCTGCCAGGCGTTCCCAGCAGACCCTCACTATGTGTTTGGGTCTGCCAGGTCTACACGGCATCTTCCCCTGCCATCTGATCCAACTCACCACCAGGTGGTGATCAGTTGACAGCTCTGCTCCTCTCTTCACTCGGGTGTCCAAAACATATAGCTGCAGGTCAGATGATACGACTACAAAGTCTATCATCGACCTGTGACCTAGGCTGCCCTGGTACCAAGTGTACCGATGGGCATCCTTATGTTCGAACATGGTGTTCGTTATGGCCAAACTGCAGCTCGTCCAATAACAAAACACCACTCGAGTTCAGATCAGGCGGGCCGTTCCTCCCAATCACACCCCTCCAGGTCAAGCTGTCATTGCCCACGTGAGCATTGAAGTCCCCCAGCAGGACAATGGAGTCCCCTGATGGAGCACTATCTAGCACTCGTCCCTGGGACTCCAAAAAGGGTGGGTACTCTGAACTGATATTTGGCCCATAAGCACAAACAACAGCTACCCTCTCGTCCCCGGGGTAAACCCCAACACACAGGCAGAGAGTCTTGGGGCTAACAAAAAGCCAACACCAGCCCTCCGCCTCTCACCTGGAGCAACTCCAGCAAAGGAGAGTGCCCAACCCCTCGCAAGGACTTGGGTTCCAGAGCCAATGCTATGTGTCGAGGTGAGTCCGACTATATCTAGCCGGTACCGCTCAACCTCTGCCACAAGCTCCTGCTCCTTCCCCGCTAGCAAGGTCACGTTTCATGTCCCAAAAAACAGTTTTCTTGTCCGGGGATCGGACCGCCAAGGCTACCGCCTTGGTCTGCCACCCGATCCACATTGCACCGGACCCTTCATGTTCCTCCTGCGGGTGGTGGGTCCACAGTATACTATATAATATTCTAAGGGCCATTCAGTCCCTTTACCAGAGGAGCGTGAGTTTGGTCCGCATAGCTGGTATTAAATCGGACCTGTTACCGGTGAGGGTTGGACTCCGCCAGGGCTGCCCTTTGTCACCGGTTCTGTTCATTACCTTTATGGACAGAATTTCTAGGCACAGCCATGGTGTGGAGTGTGTCAAGTTTGGTGGCAGGAGAATCTCGTCTCTGCTTTTTGCGGATGATGTGGTCCTCCTAGCTTCATCCAGCTCTGACCTTCAGCTCTTGCTGGGTAGGTTCGCAGCCGAGTGTGAAGCGGCTGGGATGAGGATCAGCACCTCCAAATCTGAGACCATGGTTCTCAACCGGAAAAGGGTGGCTTGCCAACTCCGGGTCGGGGGAGAGGTCCTACCTCAAGTGGAGGAGTTTAAGTATCTCGGGGTCTTGTTCACGAGTGAGGGTAGGAGGGATTGGGAGATCGATAGGCGGATTGGTTCAGCATCTGCAGTGATGCGGACGCTGAGTCGATCTGTCGTGGTGAAGAGGGAGCTGAGCCAGAAAGCCAGGCTCTCGATTTACCGGTCGATCTACGTCCCAATCCTCACCTATGTTCATGAGCTTTGGGTAATGACCGAAAGAACGAGATCGCGGATACAAGCGGCCGAAATGAGTTTCCTCTGTAGGGTGGCCGGGCTCAGCCTTAGAGATAGGGTGAGGAGCTCGGACATTCGGGAGGGACTCGGAGTAGAACCCCTGCTCCTCTGGATCAAAGGGAGTCAGTTGTGGTGGATTGAGCATCTGGTCAGAATGCCTCCTGGACGCCTCCCCGGGGAGGTGTTTCGGGCATGTCCTGCCGCCAGGAGGCCCCCGGGTCGACCCAGGACACGTTGGAGAGGTTACATCTCCAATCTTGTCCGGAAACGCCTTGGGGACCTGCCGGAGGAGCTGGTGGAGGTGGCCGGGGAGAGGAAGGTCTGGAGCTCCCTAGTTGGGATGCTGCCCCCGCGACCCAGACCCGGATAAGTGGAGGAAGACGACGACAACAGTCATGGTTTCTCTGTGACAAAGAAAAGAGTCAGAGTGATGGAGGAATGAATAAATGAGTGGTCTCCAATCATCCAGCTCCCTGATGAGGTCAGCCTCCAGTCTCACCAGCTCCAACTAAACCTTCAATCACACGTTTCTCCCTTTAATGGAGGTTTGTGGCCACATGCACTGAGCCTCATGAGGCATGAATCAAAAAGATGACTCAACTAGAGTCATTTGGTACCAAAACCAATAAAACTGAGACATTGGGAACTAATTTGAGGGTTTAGGGAGTTGGAGAGCAGCAGCTCGCTGCTTTCATCACTTACATGGTGAGATCAGCTCACTACTATGGCTCATGTTCATTAAGCAAATTCAAGAGTGACCATTTTATTATGTTTATGTTTATTTATTTGGCAGATGTTTTAATCAAAAGTGACGTACAGTAGTTAACCTATAGGCAGTGTTGTGATCGGGGGGAGGGGGGGGGGGGGGGTACCGGAGTACCCGGAGGGTGGATTTAGCAATTTGGGGGCCCAAGGCGAACACAGACATGGGGCCCCCTTACACTAAATTTTCGACAATCTTATTAACAGGATTTGCAAAACTCTCCCCTCTTCTGACATGAGTGATTTTCACTTTTTATTAGTCCTCCTCTTTTTTTCCTGTCTTTCTCTCCCTTTGAGTGCTTTCTTCTTCCTGTCAGTGCTCCTGTGCTTTTGCCTTTCTTTTTTTTTTTACTTCTATTTTCCATTTTGGTCTATGTTTTCCTCCTTTTAAACATTTTCCATTGTCTTTCCTTTCTGCTTCCTTTTGATGTTTACATAGAAAAACGACGTCACTTTTGGAAGTGAAGATAAAAGCTTTTTTGAAGCATGCTGCTTCTTTCTCTTATTGGAGCCACCAGGATAACTCCATTTCATGCTTATTGTTTTGACTACTGCTTCGAGTTTGTTACGAACGCTCCCGCCTCTTTTCTTCTGTGTTCTCGTCTTCATCTTATTTGTGGTCTTACGGCACTTGACAAACAACAATTTGGTGCATTACTGCCACCAACTGGATTGAGGTGGAATGACTACCAATCACTTCCTGTTTGTACATCGGCGTCTTAAAGGAACAGTCCATTGTGACATTAACAGTGGCCAGCAGCCAGAGCTAGGGCCCCCCCAACATATGGGGGCCCCAGGTGGCCGCCGACCTATGCCTAATGGTAAAACCTTCACCCACGCATGCATGGTAGAACATGCAACTCCACGCAAAGGCCACAGCCGAGTTTCTAACCTGCAACCTTTTTGCTGCGAGGTAACTGTGCTAACAACTGCACCACTACGCTGCCCAACTTGTTCCAAAAGGCCAGAAGTTCTAATATTCATCATGGAGTATGGGTTTAAATGTAAGGGACTGTCAGATACCTCCTGGAGCCAGACTAGAGGTCAGGACCTGCAGTCTGGTTTCAGGAGGACCAATCTGGACTGGTGTGACAGCCTGAAGAATAAAGAACTGTGTGCTTCATCACACTTCAACAAGCTTCCAATCTTCCACCGATAAGCGCAGCTTCATGGTGATACGGTGTCTTTTGTTTACCTACTAAACAAATCAGGCCACAAACACCCAGACGTGTGTCCGTTAAGCTGCACAAAGCTCTGAACATCCATCAGGATACAGCTCACCCCCACCCCACTCCACACACTCAGCCATAAAAACACAGGTTTCCTCATCACAACAGATGTAGCTGCATGGCACCATCACACCTCATCCATCAACGCCTCTGCACCACCTGATCAGGAAGGGCTGTACACGCAGCCTCCCACTCATGTAATGAGGTAATTATAGGCAGCATATGATGGACCCCTGCTGCTGTTTGTAAGTCACATGTACGGGGTGTGCAGCTTCTTCTGTCTGTTGAGCAGCAAAGTTCCTTTTGCTTCCTGTTTAGGTTCAAGTTCTTGTTAGTCAGAGCATGAGTGTTTATCAGAAGTTCAGAGGTTACAGACATGAGAAGGGGTGGATTCAGGGGGTTAGCAGGATTTTAAGATGTTAGAAAACAAACATTAAATGTACAAACTAATTTTAGAACTGAGAACTGCTGGAATCACAGCTAACAGGACTGAGCCACGACATAAAACCAAAGCTGACTGACCGTCCATGTTCTCTGCATCAACACAGGAGCCAAGAGACGCCGACAGGCCCAGAGTGGCAGACGAGGGCATCTTTCCCAGTATGGAGGCCAAAGAGGGACCTTTATTCCTGGGAAAATCCTCCTCTAGGTCCTCAGGTGTCTTCTTTTCCAGTTTTATCAGAGCCTCCAGTGAGATCTCATCCAGCTCTTTGCCAAAATGTCTGGCAACAGCCTGGAGTTCAGCATCCTCGATGTCCTCCCCCGACTCTCCAGATTCTACGGTGACCGTCCGAGATGGTGAGGAAGTACAGTCTGAGGAGCAGGAGCAGAATTTCATTAGAAGAATTTCAGGTCTGAATAAAAAAGCTCAGATCTAACAGAAACATTTAAAGACTAATCGTACTGTTTTATTCTGAAACCAGATGCTTTATTTTACCGGCGACAAAAGCTGTGAGTTTAGAGGTAACACCGTCATGTGCCTGCTGGTGCGATCCAATGGAAGTTAGCCCTTTGGCTAGGGATGCTTCAATCCAACCATGTGATCAGAAATAGGGCCCGATCACATTTTTTCTAACGGATCCAGAATCGGATTTAACTAGGGACGCTCAATATTGGCTTATTTTATAACCTAAATTCGATATACGGATATTGTCAACTCTTAATTCCCGTTTTTGATGTATGCTGTGTCACCCTCTCACAACAAAGGAATAATTAAAATGTTTTAGGTTACTAACATCACATATCTTTTCATCCATCCATCCATTCTCTTCCACTTATACGAAGTCGGGTCGCGGGGCAGCAGCCTAAACCGAGAGGCCCAGACATCCCTCTCCCCAGCCATTCGGGCCAGCTCCTCCCGGGGAATCCGAAGGTGTTCCCTGGCCAGCTGAGAGACATACTGTAGTCCCTCCAGCGTGTCCTGGGTCTTCCTTTGGGTCTCTTTCCGGTTGAACATGCCCGGGAAACCTCACCAGGGAGGCATCCAGGAGGCATCCTAGCCAGATGCCCAAACCACCTCAACTGGCTCCTCTCAATGTTTTTTTGATCAGGCAGCATATTTTCACCTGTGAGTGGCGTGTGTGTGCTTGTGTGCACGAAAAATTCTTTGCATCACCACATGTTGGTGTTTTGCACATTTTAACACCTCCTGTGTGTTTTAACAACCATTCTTGCACCCGTTTCTACCTCGGCAGGGGTCTCATTTATCAAACATGGCGTAGAATCCTTACTAAAACCGCACTTAAGCTCAGCAATAAAAATGTACTTAAGCCGAGCAGGTTTGTGATCTATCAAACATGGAGTACGCACAGCTGCACGCAACCTCCGCTTCATAAATCAGAAACTATCTAGAATGTTTCTCAGCTGCATTTTAGTCACACCCCGCCCTCACCACGCCCACTTACTGCCATAAATAGTCAATGCAAAGTGCCTTGTGGTTCTCATGCATATACATAAGCCGGCTGTTGCAGCATTTCGATCACGACCGTAGATCAAGGAAGCGCTATTTCACCAAAGCAGAAATTCAGGTACTTGTGGGTGAGGTGGATAAATGAAAGGAAGTACTTTTGCAAAACAAATAAAGAGAAAATCCACAGAGTGGCGCAGCGTTGCTGAAGCCGTCAATGCTGTGAGTTCTTCAGAGAGATCTGTGGCAGATATAAAAAAAAAAACGATCCGATCAGGATTCGATCCCCAGACTCCCGGGTGAGAGTCACGCACGCTAATCAGTCAGCCAAACAGAGATCTCCCTTGTTCAAGTAGCCAGGGCGCATGATCTATCGGGTCACAGTGACAGGACCCACACACACTGTCACAGACGCATGACATTCTGTCTCAATCTGTCCCTCTGCTGATATTCTGCATTCTGTATTCTGCACTTCAGGCTGTGTGTGTGTGTGTGTGTGTGTGTGTGTGTGTGTGTGTGTGTGTGTGTGTGTGTGTGTGTGTGTGTGTGTGTGTGTGTGTGTGTGTGTGTACGTGGGTCTTGCTCTGTGTGAAAACGAAGCGGTACAAGTGATAATACTGCAGGATTTCATAATTGTATCTTCTCAGCAGCAGCACTGCAGGTGCTCTCCATGTCCAACATGTGTGTAAGCCAGGTCCTTAGTCAACTTAAAGTTGCGCACATTTTTCCGCTAAGTTTTCTTTCATAAATCCCAAAGTCTGCGTGGAAAGTTGCTTACGCAGTTTTCCGACCCAGTTTTGTGCGTAAGCAAGCTTGATAAATGAGGCCCCTTCACATTTTCATTAATGTTATTAAAGGAGAGATATTCAGGCCTTTTCTTAATAGATCCAGGGTCAATACCCAACATGTTTGTAAAGTTCTTTTCACAAAATCCCTCTCACTTAAAGTGATTCTGGCATGTTTATTCTTAACTTCAGTACTTCCAGAATGAGCCATTTCAGAGCTCTGTCACGTTAAGAAAACAAGCCACAGCTGGCCACGCCCACCCAGCCCCCGCTCAGGCTGCTATTGACCATTTACATGTGACATCACGCCACTCAAGGAACCGCCCCCTTTTCCATGGTGGATGGTAAAAAGTCCGTTTACACGCGTTGAAACTCCTGTGGAAATAGTCAAAACAAGCCAGTCTGTAGCCTTTTAACGCTTTTATTTAGTTGGTTTCACAGTAAAATGGTAACAGCTTGCTGCGCAGTTGGCTGCACCAACAGACAAGGATGTAAACTCAACTTGTTCATGTTTTAAAACAACTTTGATGAAGACTGCGGATGGAGATGACCACACAGCGATCAATCTAACAGACTAACAGAACTCAAAGTATTTTGGGATTTGAAGCAAATGCGTTTACCCGGTCAGATCAACGCTCGTGTTTCAAGAGGACAACAGGGACTGTTGATGGACCTGAAATAATAAATGTGGTGCGTTTGTAACCCGTGGCTCCCTGGAAAAACCTGAGTATCTGTATTCAAATCTATCAGCGTGGAATACGTCTTCAGGGTTTAAGTGTCTGTGGGAGCTGCAGGATCAAATGCATCTAATTTCCTACAGTTTCTTGCTTTTATTTCTTCTTTTTTAACTCTAATACTGGGTTGTTAGCAGTAGTAGCTCATTATCTGAGCATTGAAACCTCCAACCCTTAAACCACACACACATCGATCAATTCAATAAATTAAATATATTGAAATATGTAACAGTTTATAAAATTCATCATGAAGAAATTACCGGTAAATGCTAAATTCCCTCTCCTAGAGGGTTCTTAGAGGAATGATAAAATCGAACAATAAACAAACAAATAAAACCTATTGTCCTTTAACAATGTATTCAGGACTATGTCCCAGTTCTCTTGCTATTGGGCAAATGGATAATTCAGTCCATTAAAAAGTTGAAAAGTTGCCAAAAAAAGTGTCCAAACCCCCACTCGGGAAGGGAAAAATATCCTTTGTCCTTTGAATAGTGTAGAGCAGGGGTGTCAAATATGCGGCCCGCGGGCCGAATGCGGCCCGCAAACGTGTTAAATCCGGCCCGCAAGATGGTTGTGTAAACTTTATTTTCATACTTTACAATGTAGAGTGAAAATAAACTTATCTTTGTGAGCAAGTTTTCTCTGTAATGAGTATAAATGCAACAAAGCTGCGCTCAAGGCTCACACAAGAACTTGAATCACATCCTGAAGTTGGCTGCCACTCAGGACGTGACTTGATGTTGATGTGCTGGTGAAAGCTAAAAGATGTAAAGTAAAATGAGTCAAATATACTTTAAGTGCTGCATGAAACTGATCTAGCCATGTGATCTGTAAGCTCTTTGAATCACTAAGGAATGTTTACTTATTTATTGATTTTCTAATTTTTTTTTCTAATTTTCAAGTACACTTCAGGTGTTGTACTTGTACTACACTGTCCTCAGGCTCCAGCCTTGTTTTATATTGATTGTATTAAAACAAAGAAAACAATCTGAAGTTTTTTTAATTTACCGGTCTGGCCCACTTGGGACTAGATTTCCCTCAATGTGGCCCCTGAGCTAAAATGAGTTTGACACCCCTGGTGTAGAGGTCTTGAATGATCCTACCACATCTTTGATGAGACAGGATATGATGAAAACGTCCAGCCATGGATGTGGTACCCATGAGTATTAATAGCCCTCCAGTGGATCAAAGCAGTGCATCCGAGTCCACTTATGTACACTTCACCACATACTTCTGATGGAGACAGAACACGGTGATGGATAGCGGTTTAAAACATCTCACATACTTTGGGTGTGTTGCTGTTTAAACAACAGATTTATTCATATTTTATTCTTGTTTATATTTAATTGATAAAATGTTTGTACTTTATTGGCTGACTTGAATCTTGCACTTTAGTCAGCAGCTCTGTGGTTTTTAAATGTCCAATACAAATACATTGACCTTGTGTTTAATGGACTGTTGGTCCCACAGGCTGCAGCTCACATCCACTTGCCCCTTTAACCTTCCACATATGTGACAATATAACATCTAAAAACATTAATTATTTGGCAGAAATATGAGGGCCTGTGTCATTAATCCCTCTGGGATTAATAAAGTATTACTGAATTGAATTGAATATGGTTCCAGCTTTTCCCAAACTCTGCTTTTGTTTTGGTATTTCTGAATTCTGCATTTCCAACTATATTCATCAAAGACCAAGTTCACTAAGAAACCCTTTTTACTTGTTTTTTATATGATTAGTCGCTCTGTTTCACATGAAAACAGCCTGCTGTCCTTTGAGAGGCTAACTCATTTCCCGACACAGTTAGCCCTGATTTCTCATCCCAGACTAAGTGTAATGAGTTTGAATCCGTTTTCTACGAGAACGTAATAAACATCAGCTTGGCCATTCTTTCCGCCATGTGAACCAACACAACCAGACCACTGCTGCAGCCACACAGCAACAATCTGGCGGTTCTCCACACAAGCTTACAGTGTAATGAAACAGCCCTGAACGCCTGTTCCTTCCACTCCGGACATGGCCCGCGAGGCGCCTGTTGGGTACCGCTGCTATAGGCGCACCTCAGGTGCCTCAGATGCATGCATCGCCACATCAGAGACAGGAACAAGCGCTATTCAGCCAAAGTTTCATCATCAGGGAACAGTTTCTAAGTGACAAGTCTCTGTGGGAGACAGGGTTTGGAAAACACTCGCTTCAGTGAGAGGAACCTTCCGGCATGGTCCTGATTCTGCTGCTGCCTGAAACCAACGCGCTCCGAACCCCTCTCCACATCCTCAGCTCTTCCACCTCACGTGCACGCTGACCATAGGCGGAGATCCCAGGGGGGGCACGTCCCCCCCTCACACAAAGTTGCCCCCCCAACAAAAGTTATTGTAAATGTATAAATGCTATCAGTAAACCTGTATTGTCTTCTAAAACCACAACGTAAAAGTTAGTCTGCAAATACAAAACAATGTGTTTTTAATTGTTGAGAAATTATAGTCCACCACCCCCAATATCAATGTGGAACTATTTGGATTTTAGTAGCTTTCATGTTATGTGATTTAATAAAATTTTAATTTGACATTTTATGTTCTCTCTCTTTGTTGTGAAAAAGTTAGATATGTTTTAGTACTTAAAATTAATGCTTTGCATCCGTCCACACGTGTAGCTGTTGGTCAGCTAATAGCCGTGTCATTTCAGGACATGTTGCTTCAACTATTAACGATCTACTTTTAAATCTTTATTCTGAATTGCTTATTCCGTTTTAGGCCACAGTCTTGTTATTGAAATGAAAACAAAAAGAAAGGATGCTTGTGGAGATGTACAAAATTGGCAAGATATTGTTGTTGATCAATATCCTCCAGCTCCGTTCTAATGACAATATCCCGTCTGTGTGTGTTGCTGTTCAACTGTCAGCAGACCAGGTCTGTTGAAATGGCAGAGAAATGAAAAACGGCAGACATCAGGTCGTTTTTTAATGCTCCAGAATGTCAAGTAAGTAGAAACTTGCATTTTGATAAAGACATCTGTAAGAAGGAAATGAAATTGTTTCTAAATGGTTTCATTTGGCAAAGTCCAGTCACTTGAGCACAGGCAGCCAGAGCCTGTCAGACACAGGCACAGAGTCTTAGGTCAGTCTCTTATGAGGACATACAGTGTTGTATGTAGAGAGCATTTTTTTCATGTCCCCCCCAAAAATTACTCTCTGAAGTTTTACTGTTTGTTGCCCCCCCACCCCCACCCACACACACCCCCACCCCCCACCCCAAAATTGAAATGGGATTTCCGCCCTTGGCGCTGACAGCGAGCTGCGCTGAGCTCAGTGTAAAATGCTCAGACGTTCTGATGGGAATCTTTTCGGGATTTAGCTACCTCTGTGATGTGCGTGACGATTAAAATGTCAGCGCATCTGAATGCGTCGAGGTAATTCTTTCAAAACGACCAACAGCTATGAAGTTTCTCCGTCAAAATAAACGTCAAATATGGGAAATTTCCAGTCAGTGCAAACCCTGCCATCAGTGGTGCAAGAAGTGGGTATGCAGTGTATACAACGCATATGGGCGCCAGGCTGGAGGGGGCGCCAAAGCAATGATGCAATGATATTTCAGTCTGCATTTCCTGTGTTTAATAACAGCGGAGCCACAGAACCAAGTTGTGTGTTTGTTTATGAAAACTTTGTAGAATTAAGTTGTACAAACAGAGCCCAGCTCTGGTGTCACAATGAGCAGCTTCTGTCTAACGGGGACGGCGGGGGTAACCAGGACCAGGCTGGGAAAATTCCTGGTGGGCCGGTCTGGTCTGCGTTTTTTGATGGTTTTTTCGGGTCGGTGTTGAGTCACGTCTCTGTAGATCACCTGCTGCTGCTGAGAGGATGTCTCCTGTCAGCGTGGAAGGAACAGGTGAGCTGCTGCCAACAAGCTTTAGCTCCTTGAAACCCTTTCTATGCCCAGAGTGCAGTGACCTGTTACTTATGATTTTATAAGTAATAATAAGTTAATAAATACACTAAACCCACAGCACGTGATGGAAAATTAGATTTTAAAAGTCTGAATATTTTCCCCACAACTCAGCTCTGTCGCATAAGCAGATGTCTGCTTAAGCTGGACAGCATCAAATATAAAAAAGTATTCACAGATAACTGATCTTTTATTGTGTGTTTTGTTTTGTTTTTGTTTTTTTTTTATTGTGATTGTTTTCTCCTTTCATTAACTCATTCACTGAAAACTAAAGTCGTCATCTGCATGTTTTTACTGTGTCGGCGTCCAGGGGCGCAGATAGGATTTTCAAGCTGCGGGGGACAAAATTCCAATGTACCCTCCCCCAAAAACATGCACACACACACACACACACACACACACACACACACACACACATACGCACACACACACACACACACGCGCACACACACATACACATACACACACACACACACGCGCACACACACACAAACACACGCGCACGTACACATACACAAACTATTGCAAGCGCCTTAACTAGAGCTCAGTCAGTTTGTGTAATTTCATCCAACGGTTTACGTAAAAACTAACTTTTATATACGTGTCTGAAGCCGTTATGCAGCAAATTTCTGCCTGATCAACACTATAAATGATAAATGATCCACACTTGTATAGCGCCTCTCAGAGTAAGGACTCCAAAGCACTTTACACTACAGTCCTGACTCAGATAAGTCCCAACACTGACAACAACGTACTGAAACTAGAACCAACATGCATAAACAGACAGATCGGTCCCGCCTACTTACACTGTTGGTCTTTTTTAAATACGCAGTAATCGTTGCCTTTTCGCTTCATCCTGCGTCCTAGCAGCAACCACTTTGGCGCCTCTGGGGTCGGTGTTTGTTTACGTCATGCTGCATTCAATGTAATTGGAAAAAGGAGCTTCAAGCGCTTAACCTGTTTTCTTTCTGGCCTTAGTTGGGGGGGGACGGATCGGGGTCAATCTGAATCTGGGGGGGACAGATCCCCCCCCCATCCCCCACCCTGTCTGCGCGCCTGTCGGCGTCGGACGAGCCCCCGCGCCGAGGGAACAAACATCTCAGTTCTGAAGCCGATCTTCATCCGCATACGTCACATGATCAGGAAGCAGAACATCCATGAGTTAGGAGATCGTTTTGGGTCGCTGCTGCAAAAAAATGTGAGACGTGAACCGGAAAAGCGTCTGCCGATCACAATTCAACAACGGATTATGAAAGAACGGATAACGCTCGAAACGCGCAGATTCTTCCTGATGCAAGAGGTGAGTCTTCGCTTTGTTTTGGTTGTTTGGGCGTCGACATCATCCTAGCGCACAACGTTCTGTGACTCTTAAAAAAAACGTAAAAAGGGCAAGAAACGCTGGCAGCAATGGGCTTTACTGATCAGGAAATGGCTGGCAGTGAATGAGTTAATGTAAGAAAAAATTAAATATTTTTGCCTGCGTATTTGTTTTCTCTCCATTTTTTGCCAAAGTTAAAACAGTAAACCAGGTCAGACATTTTTAACTATAATAACTTTGTTGTCATTTGTATTTATTTTGGTTAAGGGAAAAATATAACATCGGCTGCACAGTGCTGCAGCGGTTAGAGCTGTTGCCTTGTAGCGAGAAGGTCCTGGGTTCGCTTCCCGGCCTGGGGTCTTTCTGCATGTAGGTTGCATGTTCTCCCTGTGCATGCGTGGGTTCTCTCCGGGTCCTCCGGCTTCCTCCCACAGTCCAAAAACATGACTGTTAGGTTAATTGGTCTGTCTAAATTGTCCTTAGGTGTGTGTGTGTGTGTGCATGATTGTTTGTCCTGTGTGTCTCTGTGTTGCCCTGCCATGGACCGGCTCTCTGTCCAGGGTGTACCCCGCCTGGTTGTTCGGTGACTGCTGGAGATAGGCACATATCGTTTCATTAATTGTCTTCTGTCGGTGGAATCTACACAGACATGAAATCGCATCACTGCAATAGACTTTTATTTTGAAAATTACCAGGGGTTTTAAACTGAAATAATGTGATTTCCTTTCTAGTTCTATGTTAAACTGCAGAAACTGTCGTGTCCCAGAAGCGGTCCGTGGCAAAAATAGCACCTGATCCTATCTTTAGCAGTGTGGCGAGCCGCTTCTGGGACGCGCCCGAAAACGTCCGCATCACAGACCCCATCGACTATAATGGATTCTGAAAGTAATTAGTTACCTAGCCAAATAACTACAACATTACTTTTATGCTCTATGATGCAGTTATGTTCTTTATTATCTATAATGTCAAAGATTTTTGAATGATTCTTACCATCTAGAACAGGGCCATTAAAGTCCGGGCCTCGAGGGCCTGTGTCCAGCACGTTTTAGTGGTTTCTCTGCTCCAACACTTCTGATTCAGTGGTTGAGTCACCTGTGCAGCAGCTCATCAGGCGCTGCAGAAGCCCGTTAATCACCTGCTGATTGAAATCGGGTGTGTTGAAGCAGGGTTGAAACTTACGTGCGCTGGATACGGGTCCTCAAGGCCGAACTTGAATAGCCCTGATCTAGAATGAACCTTTCAGATATCTGAAAGGTTCATTTAGTAAGAATGTTCTCATGGGTATCAGGGGCGTTGTTTCTACCAGGAACAGAAGACCTATAGATATCTGGAATACAAATCCAGTCTGCCTAATTAATGTTAAAAAGAGCACCACAGGTTTTTAAGGAAACTGCTATTGTGTCAACACTCTCAGCGTACTATAACTTGTTTCTAGCATACGATGCATATCGGTACTTCTTCTAGCCGTTTATCAGTCAAAATCTCCAAAATAACAGAAAAAAACTCTTTCAGTAAACGGCAGCTGACAACTTTTTCAAGGGGAGTAGCAGCGCTTACATTTTCCTCTTAAAGCAATGAGTATGGGGGTCTGCAGTGGACAAAATACCTCAGAAACTACCTTGTATCACTCATTACTCGCCCATATGTGGATACTGTGAGATTCCAGTAGATCCATGCTGCATGACCCATGTGAGCACAATCCTCTGCATAATAGATGCAATCAAATCATTTCATTACCATCTCATGATGGATGTTCAGTTTCATCTGGTCAAGAAAGTTCAGCAGTATTACGGTGAATGGTATGATTTGGCCCACCTCTAAGTGTGCTTGAGGACTCTGGAGAAACCAGCTCAGTGGCCTAGTGGTGTCCGCCCTGAGACTGGGAGATGGTGGGTTCAAATCCACGGTTTCCAAGACCTTAGAAATAGGACCTCTCTGCTTCACGCTCAGCATGAAGGGGTTTGGTTGGAGGGTTAAACCACCAAATGGTTCCCGAGTGCAGTCGTGTCTGCAGCTCACCGCTCCCCCAGAGGAGAAGACGTTTCACCAGAGTGAACTTTAGCTCTAAACCCCTAACCCCCCACATCAGCAACAATAACAAGGTCCAGGACGACCTCTGACCCCACTCACCCTCCTTAGCATAGGCAGCATACACCCCTCTCAACTTGGGTCTGCAGCTCTCCAGCTCCGCATCTATCTCATCCTGGTAGCCCAGAAGTTCATCTGGCAACAGCAAAGAAGGAGAAGCCAAGTCTGACTGATTTGTACGGAAACACAAAGTTCAATACATGTGAAGAGACCCTTTTAGGCTCCTCAGGCTGTTCAATAAACTGGTTTTAAATGTTTCTAGAGAATTCATTTGAAAAGTCTGATTATTTACATTCATACCTTCAACATCATCGATCTGTTTCGTCAGCTGTAGCTCCAACTGGAAAGAGACACAAACCAGAATCAGACCCGAGATCAGAGACAACAGGATCGCCCATCTCAGAAATAAGAACAGAGACAACTGCTATGTTAGAATAAATCCGTCCGTTTGAGATGATGTACCTTATGGATTAGGGCATAATTTATGTACATCATGGCGCGGCATGAGCGGCAGCCAGCAGCTCGCACTTCTTTACTCCTCTTTTTAATCTTTGCTCGTCTTGTGTGGCGAGTTTTAAATGCCCTTAAGGTGGACGTATGTTCTCACACCCGCGCCCTCCACACGAGTGCTTTTGTGTCGTTTGTGTTGAATTTTTTTAAAGCTTTTGGAACTTTCTGGGAACGCACTGGGAAATTCATCCAGCTCCATACAGGGATCAGCTCTTGGCGTCGCCTCACTCGCCTCCATTCTCCCCTCTTTAACCCAATATGTGAAGCACCGCACCAGAGACAATAAGACAACCGACCTGCTGCATGCTAATGTCAAAAAATGCACACACCTCCATCCCACTCCCACCACTCAGCTGCTCTGATTACAGTCTCATACGTCTGATCCCAGAATACACACCCCGGGTGAAAAGGGAACCTCCACAGAAGAAGTGTGGTCTGAGGAAGCTACAGTACCTGGGTGATCACCTCAACAGTGAACTGAACTGGTCCAACAACACAGATCCTGTATACGAAGAGCCAAAGCCGCCTCCACCTCCTGAGGAGGCTGAGGTCCTTTGGAGTTCATTCCCATCCGCCATAATCCTTCTGTAGCTCTGTGGTTGGCTCTGGGATTCATCCTGAAGTGGTCCGCTGGGGTGCAAGCAGCTCTGACCAAGACACGAAGCTAGTTAAAAAGGCTAGCTCGGCTCGGGGCTGCCCAATGGATTCAGCTGAGATGTGTGAGAGGAGAATGGTGGCAAAGATGACCTCCATTTTGGAAAACCTCTCCCACTCACTGTATTCCATAGTGGAGCCCATGGACAGCTCCTTCAGTGAAGACTGAGACATCCCAAATGTAAACCAGAACGCTCTAAATGTGTGTGCTGCTGTAACGAGTGAATTTCCCCACTGTAGCATTAATAAAGTCCATCCCATTCTGTTCTAATATGGTCTGTAATTGTTTTTTTTTTTTACATTTAATTCTTAATTTCCTTATTTTACTTTACATTTTTAAATAAACGTTTGTGTATTTTCAGTGTGAGATACTTAAATGAACAAATTAAGTGTCCAAAGCAAGTTGGTCAGAAGTCATCTTAAAGTGTGAGTCACACCATGGGCGGAGACTCATTTCACCCACACTACCGGTTAGCTTGTAAAGGAGGCGTGGCCTGGCCTACAGAGCACGGCACTAAGGCAGTGAATGACAGCAGATCTCAACATTGACATGAATAAACATATTTTATTTTGTTTCTCTTTTAAGTGATGAAGTAGCACCGACCTGTTGGGCTTTTATCTTCTTTAATCCGTTAGTAAAGCATGGCGGGTTGCATTCCTGTTCCAGGTCCACTCTCATGAACTCCTCAATAGTCAGATGGCTGGTTGGTGTGTCTTCAAACTCTATCAGTCTGATTCAAAATAGAGAATACACACACATACTTTACAGAATAAGAAAGCACCGAAAACCCAGTTGTACAGTTGGTGAAGGTGTCCCCACCTTTTTCTCAGTGTCGTCTCACAGACTTTAACCACGTTGATGATTTCTTTAACGGTGCGACAGAAGTCGTGTAAACGAGCCGCCACGAGGAGAGCTGGAAGAACACGTTCAGCAGTCCGATGAGTTCAGCTTTTACTTTGTGTCCCAAAACATTTATAATCCATGCATGAAGAACCAGGGTGGGGCGAGAGAGACGGAGAGACAGTTCTGTTCCTACACCATTAAGACCTAACCAACAGAGCACAAAGTCTTATTTCTTACACAAAAACACTGTTTCACTAAGAGCAACACCAGCATTATGCAGTGAGTGGGTGTGAGAGGCTTGGGGGGTGGTATATGTGGGGGTGGGGGGTAATATAATGTATTAGACATGCCTCTCTGAGGAGGCTGTTAAAAGATGGATGGGTGTTTCCTCTCTCTCAGGAGGACGAACCAGAGCAACATCTCATCCTTCATTCCATCCAGTCTAAAAGGCCCACCACCTTAGAGGACACATGGAGTTGTAGCCGTTTTGGGCGCATGTGGGTAAACTAACCCTAGCCAGCTCAGTGGCCTACGAGCGTCCGCCCTGAGATTGGCAGAATGTGGGTTCAAATCCAAAGTTGAGTCATAAAAATATGGGACCCAATGCCTCTCTGCTTGACACTCGGCATTAAGGGATTGGATTGGGGGGGTTAGACCACCAAACGGTTTCTGGGCGCAGCTGTGTCTGCAGCTCACCGCTCCCCCAGGGCATGGGTCATATGCAGAAAACGAATTTCACACACCAGTATGAAAGCTAGCGGGACTTTGACTTTAAGTTTAACGGGCAAGTCCCTCCACCTCCATCTTGGCTGCATCATGCATCTAATCACTCCCAGAAAATACGAAAATGGAGCTGAGAGCAGGGCTGTGAGGGTGAGGGCAAAAGATTTACACCCAACACGCTGAGCTGATGTTGCTACAAACTACCAGGCGGGCGTTTTTAGCCAGAAAACGGCGGTTTAGCTGCTACCCTCTGCCTTCTAGGCTGTAATGCGTTTAGTCTGAGGATGCGGCTGAGGCCTTCCCTGGAGCAAACAGGAGGGGAAGCCGCCAGCGCTGACGACTCATCTGCTACCTGTCAGTCAAAAGGACTCGCCCCTAATTATTAATCATTCAATCTTTAAATGAATCTAAACGGGTGTGTTAGAACACACAGGCAAAAACACTACAGTCTGCCTCTCACCTTTAGGCAACAAAGTGATCTTTAGATTCTTCTACCCAGAAATAAATTCAACTTTACATCCTACTCATGAGCAAACGTCTCCTCCCGTCGAGTCATTCAGCTCAGTGATGTCTATGATAAGAAATCAATTATTCAGGAAACGCAGCAGAGGCTCAGAGAATTACAACGCTAGACATGCGCAGACTAGAGAACACCCGGGACGTCTCTGCTGGTGACGAGTCAAAGCTGCACAGGTCCAGGTCGACAGCATCCAGATGCAGCTCAGCTGTTTCCAGGGTATCCGCAGGTTTAATGGAGCCACATTTAAGACTATTTAAGACCTTTTTAAGGCCACTTTGACCAAATTTAAGCTATTTTTTAAATTAAATTTAAGCTATAATTTCCAGCTATTGCCTGGATCCGGTGCTAACCACGTCGTGAACGTTGGATTAGCCATCCAGTTACCATTAATGTTGCACTTCCCCATGGCGCAAACTCCCACTAGCATGCTCATCTAAAAATAGCCCCCTTTCACAACCGACCGAACGTGTACGGTTCCGCTCACGCCAACATCGTACACAAAACATGCTGACCACCAACTAGAAATTCACGAGAATTTTATAGAAATAAAGGATTCTTGTTTGTTGGGTCTTTGGTAATTTAAGACCTTTGGAAACTATTTAAGGATTATTTGTCATTTTTAAGGATTTTTAAGGCCTTAAATTTGGAAAAGCACATTTAAGACTTTTTAAGGACCTGCATATACTCCGTGTTTCAGACCAGGAGGAAAATCACATCAGCTCTGCAGTTTCAGGCTGATTTTCAGAACAGTCAGCTCCATAAGGACAAGCGTGTAATTATGTTTATAATGCTTTAAACTTTACATTATTTACATGGAATTATTTGGTTATTTATAAGACTAACCCTCACCAACAGCTAAACCCACCATTCCCAACGGCTACAGTAGCCAAGTCCAACAGGAAGAAGTTCATAATAAATAATAATACATTCATTTAAAAAGTGCTTTCCATCAAAGTGCAGTACAGCTGTCAGTAAATACACTCGTTTCAGAAAAAGTACACATTTCATTAAATTAACACTACCAAAACTAGTAGTCTAAAACAATCATGAAGTAAAATAGGCATTAGCCATGGTGTTCCATCTACCTAAAAACCACAACATGATAAATGAGATGTGTAAAAACATGCAAACAAATGTGCCTTAGCTTCACTTTAAAACCGTCAAACGTGGACGCCTGCCTCGTGTCCAGAGGCATGAGGAAAACGCTCATCTTCTCCTGCACTCTGGGTACAGCCAGTGCCTTGAGACCTTAAAACTCAACCAGGTACACACAACCAGCTAGAAGCTAACCGTTAGCTAAATGTTAGCATTAGCAACTCCACAACACAGCAGAACTCCCTCAGGCTTGTGTTATTTGCGGAGATAAAACATCGACGTTGTCAAACAAATGGAGTCAGTGGTAGAGTTGCACTGCTGTGAGATTATGGGTAGGATTAAGGATAGCTTTACTTTCATGGAACCAGCGTCCCGGTAAAGTGAAATGTAGTGTCAGCACAACCTCACCAGGATAACACACAGCGCATGAAACACAGACAGGAAAACGGCGCCTGCACTGTGCTTCCTAGAGGGAACAGAGTTGGCTTGTAGGGAAGAACACCTCGGACATAAAAGCACATGTTCAGACAGTTGCTACATCACTGAACATGAGGTAGGCGGGAGGGGTGGGAGTGACCATGCATCTGAGGAAGATTAGCAGCTACTCATCAGCGTGGCTTTTAACTTCCCTTGCCAGGAATTGGGAGGGAAATTTCAAGGACGCACAAGCACGCTGGAAAACTGGGAGTATGAGCGTGGTTGTCGTGTGAGAGCATGCATGTCTGTGTAACTAAGTCCATGAACTTTCTCTAAGTTCAGCTACAATGTTCGTTGTCTAAGCTTGTCCAAAGAGTCCAAGATGCCAGGTGAGTAAAACGGGGAGGAAGGGGAAGAGCTTCTGTCTACATAAATATCCAGGAGGTTTTGGATTAACAGCCGTCCAAGGCCAACGTGTGGTGGCCACATTAAGACAACAACTGTTTTGGTTCAGACGGAGCGAGTTTTGTCTGCCTCAGTGATCTCTGGTCATTTCCAAACAGCCGAATATAGGGTTAGTTTCCAAGCTGAGCTGTAAGCTTCAGCAACTTCTGATCCATTTTGTGGACAAGTTCTGAAACCAAAGCCAGTTTGCTAATCAGATCCAGCTGCTCATCCAGCGACAGACACAATCTTCCACTCCAGGAATCCATCATGTATCCAGGTTTATCAATGGAATTTAGAGACCAGCTGACCAGATCCAAAATCAGAGAAATTCAGCGGAAAATCCACAGAGGCACTCTAAGTAGGAGAAGAAAAAGATCCAAGTAAAGCAGTCATCCAAGTAAAGCCTAGTTTATACCTATCTGTCTATGACAGCTCAGACATGTCACGCCATTATCAGTTGTTGCAAGGGCTCTCCAACAGGCCCGCAAGGACAGACAAAGTAGAGCCCACTTGTCTAAAAGTCCATTGAAGGCAACGAAGACTGCGAGCCGGTGATTGCTCGGGACATCGCTTCTACTACCTTCATCAACAGCACCCCCATTCCGCCTAAAACAGAAAATGAGAGCCGAACGTATCTAGCAACAGACACGGAGCAGATTGAAGAACATCTCATGGAAGAAGTCTGAAGATGTAAAACGTTCATACACCTGTGACTGAAGGAGTACCAAGATACGCAGCAAACTTTTCATTCATGTCAGGAAATTATAGTAAACATGAGTTTAGAGGTGGTGACGGCGTGGACAGGTGTGTCCGTGTTAAAAGTCTCTGAAATACAAATATAAACACACTAGAGACGTGACAGCAACGATAGCAGGGCGCACCAGAAAGGAGCAATGCCCTCTGCTGTCCTGGCAGAGATTTGGTTCTCAACAACGACACACCAGAGAAGCACAAAGGGAAAACGTCTCCATCAATACGAGTGCGTGTTAGCTCAAAGTAGCTGACGGGGAAGTGTAAACTAGGCTTTAGACAGCACAAAGACAGGACAGGCAGTCCACTTCCTGTGTGAAAACTGCAACAAATGCTGTTGCCTGGCAGACTAAGAGGACGGGGCTGGTAACAAACACACACACACACACACACACAGGCTCAAACGACATTGTGACATCATAATGGACTAGCTAACATCGTGGTGTACCACTTAGCCAACAGCGATGGCAGATTTCTATTCAAATGTAGTGCAGAGTTTTTACCTGAAGAGGGCGCAACACTGGCAGAATATTTAAATTTGATCTAAGATCCACTAAACTGCCAAATTACTGAGTGCACGTGTCTACAGCACGACTAGACACTCTTATGTAATGTATCATCGAAAGAGGTTGATTTGGGGGTGACTTGCTCTTTAAGCTCGTGAAGGCGTTCAGCAACTCTTTGGTTCTGCCTTGTTTGGACTAGCTGTTAGCTCATCGGTGTTGTAGTTGTAAACTTTATTTCTCCTAACTAAGGGGGTTCGGGAAGAAAGCCAAAAATGTTATAATTATTTTAAATAGACTTTAACATTCCTGGAAGAGCCCTATTCCCCAGCCTACCCCCCACCAGGACACCCAGTTTCTGTGTTAACAGATTTACTTCCTCATCCCAACTCTTCCTACTAACTCATAAGATCTGCAGCAAAGGATGCTAGTAGCTTAAGTAGCTAACAGCATGGCTGGCCTCAGAGCCGCTGATCCAAGGTTCTGATAAGGGAAACCGGTCCCGTGGAGTCCAGCAGAAAGGCTTCCCTGCCCAGATGTCCATGCTGTCTCGAGCCTTTGGACTGCTTGGACAGTAGATGTCTCCTCCTGTGCTCACCTGCTCCACAGAGTCCCGACGGCCTTCTTCCTGTGTGAATCCAGTCTCTCTTCATCCTCTGGACCAACCGCAGTGCCGTCATGGAGACGTCATGGTTCTTCTCACCAAACTCCAGCATTTGGGCAAAGCGGGGAATATAAAGGCACGGGTCTGGTTGGTGGAAGAAGTTGTAAAACATGAGAGGGAGGACTTGGAAAGAGCTTTAAAGTTATTTTTTAAACAATTAATTCAAATAAACCACAAATGTGTAAAAATAAATATCTTCTGAGTAAAACCTGCCTGGCTGTGCAGTATTTGGTTTGTTTAGGAGAATAATTTTAATCACTAACAACTCCCAAAACACCTTCTTCCTGCATTTCTATATCCTCTGGGTTTATTTCTTAAGTCACATCTGTGAGAATGTTTTAAATAACATGTTATGATGACGGTTATTTCCTGTGAACGAGAGCCAACATGCCAGTGGGTTTCCTGTGACGCCTGGTGAAGGTAAACGGTCATGTCTGACATGGAGGAGGTCCAGGAGCTGGTTTCAGATCTGTTCTTAGTCCATACACCTCTCAGGATCAACCTCCAGCCAAAACTCTGCACAGTAAACAAACCGTGAGATTGAGGAAACTTTAGCTCAGCTTTGGACCAAAACAAATCCCCCTGAGGACCCAAAACTCTGGAAGTCCTTTGGCGTAAACAGTTGTAAGCATGGATAGTTACCATCCTGATCGTGTAACTAAAGCCCCGTTCATGCTTCTCGGTGTGCAGGGTCACGGAGAGACGCAACGCCGTCGTGCATTGATGCAAGCGCTCTGTGACATGCCAGCAGTGAGACTTTCCGACAACATTAATGTTTTTACAACCTTTACTGAAGAATTGCAAAGATGCACAGCTAACTTTTAATTCGTGGAATGAGATTACAGGAAATGTGTGTCTGAAGGCGGCTGCTGCATGAAGAGGTGGAGGACAACAAACTGTGGACCAGAAATGTGACTGCAATGGTGGAAGCAATTTGTCCCCAAAGTAGCTGCCGGCTTCTGATCCGCATCCTTATGAAAATACAGCGGTGTATTCTAGGAAATTTTTGACCAAGGCTAGGCTACAAGACACCTCCCGTGCATCCTTGCTCAGCTAGCTAAACGGCTAACAAATGGAGAACAGACGCCTCGGTAGAACATGATACATTGGAGCACGCCTTTGCGGTTCCTGAGGATGTATCTCCCAGGCAACCGGGGTGGGGCCAAGACATCAAGGCGAGGTTCCTTGACATTAACTCATTCACTTTCCTGGTCAGTAAAGCCCTTTGCTGCCAGCAATTTTCAAAGTTTGGATTTAAAATGACGACTTTTGTCGTCAATGGCAGTGATTGAGTTAATAAATTGTTTTTTAAGCGTGTTTATGGCGCATGTCTTCATTACATTTGTGTTTATAAATACATTGTTTTTTTAAGCATGTTCATTGTGCCTTTGTTCAGTGTTTATGTTGCATGTGTTCATTACATTCGTGTTTATTAACTCATTCACTGCCAGACGTTTCCTGATCAGTAAAGCCCTTTGCTGCCAGCATTTTTCAATGTTTGGATTTAACATGACGACTTTTATCGTCAATGGCAGTGAATGAGTTAAGAAGCACCTCATGTTCTATTGTTGCAACTACAACCTCCACACACTAGATGTCGCTATGGTGTTCATGTTCCATATTCAAACTTTAAAGTATATTTAAGCTCTGGAAATATCCATCAAAATGTTGTTGAAAATGAATAAATTACGTCCAGTCTTTAAAAATATTGGTGGCTTCGTAATGTACACTACCGGTCAACAGTTTTAGAACGCCCCATTTTTTCCAGTTACTTATAACAGTTTAAGTCATTCAAGTCCAGTGAATAGCTAGAAATGGTACAAAGTTAAGTGGTGAACTACCAGAGGTTATAAAAAGGTAAGGGTACTCATAACTGAAAAATTATGTACGTTTCAGAATTATACAAAAAGGCCTTTTTCCGGGAACACAGCTGTTCTGCAGCAATGGAGGTTGATCTAGCTGTTGCTACTAACAGGTGTTCCAACTTTTCTGGAGTACTTACAACCCCCTCTGTCTGCATAAAAGCAGGGTTGGAACATACTGTGGTACCAAACCCTCGTGAGCATCAGTTGAACAGTGTTGTACTGCAGATAATGGTGTGTTGCTACAAAAATGGTGAGAAAAAAGCAATTAACAATGGAAGAGAGACAGACCGTCATAACACTTAAGAATGTAGCAAAGAAAGTCGAGGTGTCGGTGAGTACAGTTTCCTTCACCATCAAAAGGCACTCTGGGGTAAACTCTGACAGGAAGAGGTCTGGCAGACCCAAAGCCACAATTGCATCAGAGGACAAGTTTCTGACAGTTAACAGCTTGCGTGATAGGCGGCTCACAGGACAACAGCTTCAAGCACAGCTTAATAGTGGTCGTAGTAAGCAAGTCTCAGTTTCAACTGTGAAGAGAAGACTTGGAGCTGCAGGTTTGACAGGACGAGTTGCAGCAAGAAAGCCACTGCTAAGACGTCAGAGTAAGAGAAAGAGGCTTGCCTGGGCCATGAAACACCGCCATTGGACTACTGAAGACTGGAAGAAGGCATTATGGACTGATGAATCCAAATTTGAAATCTTTGGTTCACCACGCAGGATCTTTGTACGCCATCGAGTAGGTCAAAGGATGGTTCCACAGTGTGTGGCATCAACTGTCAAACATGGAGGAGGAAGTGTGATAGTCTGGGGCTGTTTTGCAGGATCCAGGGTCGGTGACTTGTAAAGAGCGAGCGGCACCCTGAACCTAAATGGCTACCACAGCATTCTCCAGCACCATGCAGTACCCTCTGGTATGCGCCTACTTGGTCAGGGGTTCATCCTACAGCAAGATAATGAGCCAAAACATAAGTCCAAGCTATGTCAGAACTACCTCAGGTCTCCAGACTTAAACTCCATGGAGCTGGTTTGGGATGAACTGGACAGAAGAGTGAAAGCAAAGCAACCTACAAGTGCCACACATTTATGGGAACTTCTGCAGCAGATACTTTCAGAAGAATCTTTGATTTCTATTGCAGAATGAACGCCACGAGTGTGTTCAGCTGGTATATCGGCCAAAGGTGGCTACTTTGATGAGTCAAAAGTTTAGAAAACATTTTGGTCTATAAATGGATTCCATGATTTCTTTTTTAACTGCAGTTTCTTATTTTCATGTCAGAGTGCAATGTGACATTAAACTGCATCGTTTCCAATAAAAACTGGAAAAATTGTGTTCTAAAACTTTTGACCAGTATATAACCATATAAATCGGGTCTAAGTCTCTGGGGCATGCCATGTTTCCTTCTGGTTAGCTCGGGGTCCTGCTCCACCTGATGATGTCACACTGGATGATCGGCTGGACAGAACGACAGTTTTTGCGTTACCCCCAAACTCCACTACCTCCGCTCCGGTCCGCCCCCGCCTTCCACAGCCGCTCGTTTCCGAACTCAATTTTTCTTGGTACCCACTCTACAACGGCTCCGCTCCGGTGCGGAGACCTGAGGTGCGCAAACAGGCATGCGCGGGATTTTCGAGATCTTGCGATACAGTCCGAGCAATAAACGCGGAAGTTAGATCCAAACACCCGTTGTGTGGGAGAAGCATCGAAATGAACTGTTTAATCTGCCCTTCATTTGTGTTGAGAGATCAGCAGTGTTTGGATCAACAAAGTGTGACTACTTTGATAGTAGAAACTGTATTTATGGCTTACTTTTGTGCATTTAAACGTCAGCCGCCATTGATAGTTGTTAAAAGTTGTTAAACCTGTGCATATGAAACAAAAAACGCCTTTTGTTTATCGATTTATTGTGAAAAACGGAAGTTGTGCTTGCTCCTTTTCCTGTTGGGCGGTTGTGATTTCTGTCCATTTACTGCGGAGGTGCTCCGGCGTCCGGCAAAAATAGGATCGATTCTATTTTTGCCGGACGCCGGAACAGAGGGTGGCGCACGGCGCCGCACTGCCGAAGCACGGCCGCAGTAGTGGAATTGCTCTGATTGAGTACAACGGGACCGATTTTGCTCCGGCGTTCGTGTCGGAGCGGAGCGGAGGTAGTGGAATTTGGGGGTTATCCTGGTTGAAGGAGAACAGGAAATTAACTGAGCTCATCTCCTTGAACACATTTAAGACCATATCGAAGGCCCTTGATATGGATTCTCTGTGTTGTAACTGCTTTCTATAATTTTGTTTATAACTAACTGTAACTGGGAAATGTCCTCCAAACAACTGAGATATCTTCTATTTTTAAACTCATAACCTCTGGTGAGCCTCCCAGTTAAACCAGTTTCCCAGCACTGGCTGCTAATTGGTTCCAGTGAAAAGCAGCAGGATTAGTGTTCAGATCAAATGCACTTGAACAAAATAGCTGGTTCAGATTACGCTTGTTTAACGTTGTCTGTTTTAAATCTCAGAGCAGAAACTTAGTTTAGCTTCAGATTAATTCTTAAAAAGTACTTCATCTTTTTACTGACGGCCTCTGGCCTACTTTTTATCATCTGTTTCTTCTAATTATTTTGCCATTACCGTTTTCATGTGGAACTAAAATTAGAAGTAACCCTATTTTCTCTGCAGCCTTCAGACAAAGAGAAGAGGGGTTTTGGGTCCTGGTTGTGACCACAGAGTCAGACGTCTTTGAAGTGTCTCTTCTTAAAAAGCAGAGCAGTGGAAAGCTGGTAAAGTCAGCTGGTAATTAGATCGAGGCTGATCCCTTCCCCCTCTGCTCCATGTAATGATGATATGCCAGCTACAAGTTTCACTGCAGCGTCTAATCTCAAAACCAGGCCGAAAGAAAAATAAAAAGTCTGCTGACCCTATGAGGACACACATTCCCTGCAGCCCAGTGCTCCTTCATTCCCTGGAATCTTGTTTTAGTTATTTTTCCCGTTTCTAATTTTAGGTAGAGTTCTGCCTCTGCACCACCCAGCACCTGAGCTACATTTAACTGATCATTTAATTACTTTTTACAAAACCTCAGGTTCTCATGAATGACTCACTAAGGGTAGAAATGGCCTATTTTAATGGTAAAGGGGCCAGAAAAAAAAAGAAAAGCACTGATGGAAAAGATTGGATTCATCTCTAAAATTCTACTGATCTCTTATTTGTACATTTCTGTTTTGTAAATACACAATATTCTATCTTGTTTTATAAACTGTAGTCACAGAATTTCATGTGGAATTATTGTAGGATTTAATGTCATTATTTGTTGTCTCTCTAGACTAGTTGGCTCTTTATTCCATTTTATTGACTAGATGCAGATATGAGATGTAATAATATTATCAGAAAAAACAACTGATGTTACATTTACTGACCAGGTTAACGCTGCGGCTACAAATGACTCCCTTAAACATAAAAATGTGGTGGTGGTGGGGGGGGGGGGGGGGGGGGGGGGCTGCTCTTGGAGCCCGGTCCGGGAACTACGCCCCTGTTCGTTCAGATTTGTAGGAGGGGTCAGAGCTGAGGGGAGGGGTTTTTCAGCGGTGCCTCGATCTGATTGGTCCTCGGCCATGAGCGTCTGAGGAGATCCACGGAGGAAAAAGAATCAGTAAAAAAAAAGAGCCGAGCTCGGAGCGGAGTCTCCTCACTACTAGCGAGTACTTATTTACCTCGGCAGCGTCCGGCCGCGGAACGTCGTAGCGGGCTTCGGCTTGCTCGTTATTCGACGTGAAAAGGCGGAGAAGCGGGAGTGAGGATTAGCGGAGGAGCGGGAGCGCCAGCTGGACTATCCGGATTAACGAGTCGCTGGAAAAGGGAAAACTAACAAGGATAAGAGGACATTCCCAGCCCGGTGAGGATGAGCTCCCTGCCTGTGGAAGAAGCCAGGCTGTTTGTGGTGAAAGTTGTGAGCGGACACCGCCGGAGTGGACCGTAACCCTCCGCACGGAGACCCCCGACCCTCCCGAGTGATCTAGGACACCGGGTACCGACACGAAGCTGATCCGCTGCTTGAGCCCATGCCCACGGCAGACTGCAGGCTGCTCCATCATGGCCGGATCATGAGGTGTTTGACTTTTCTTCTCCTGCTCCCAGAAACGCTGAAGAGGTCCAAGAAGGTCGGCAGGCTGCCGGTATGTTATGAGTCCATCCTAACTCTGTCCTCCCTGACGAGCACGAAGAAGAAGGAGAGGAAGATGGCTGCGGAGCTGTACCCCGCCAACACCACCGCCACCAACCTGGCTAGCGGCACCACGGTGGAGGAGAAGCCCAGAGAGGTGCAGCTGAGCCCGGCCGGCGGCGGCGGGGGGACCGCCGCGACCTCCCCCACCAGCCAGCTGAACATCACCAACAACAACATCGAGCCTCCGAGCTGGCAGTGCAGCCACCCCACGCTCCGGGAGAGGTGAGCCGCAGCAGCTTACGAGCTCCAGCGCTGCCCTGGTGTCCCTCGTGAGCACCTGTAGTATTTTGATTTGTCCCCATCCATCGCAGTGTCAGCTCCCTGACTCGTGTGTGGAACTGGTTTTTCTTCCAGGAACGCCCTGATGTTCAACAACGAGCTGATGGCTGATGTCCACTTCATCGTGGGGCCCTTAGGGGCCTCTCAGAAGGTCCCAGCCCACAAGGTAAAGACACCAGCCCATGCTCTTTCTGCTCCTGCTCATTTGGCCACAAACAGTGTGAGTGACAGGCTGCATGTGTCTGCCCCCCTCCCTCCAGTACGTGCTTGCCGTGGGAAGCTCGGTCTTCTGTGCCATGTTTTACAGCGATTTGGCCGAGGAAGAGTCTGAGATCCACATCCCCGATGTGGAACCTCCTGCCTTCCTGATTCTGCTGAAGTAAGCCACTCCCCAGCAGCCCTCCACACACAGCCAGTCGCTTCAAAGTGTGTTATTACTCGCCCTGAGCCGAGCACTGGGAAGCTGTGGCGGCACGACGCTCTGTAATTGCTGCTTTTCTCAGGGCTTTTTGTTCATCTTCAAACACCTTTTTCCTCTCTTAGCTCTAGGGTTTGCACACATGCATACAGACGGCGTTTAGAGCTGATTCAGCTCCGTAGCTTTAGACAGGACGAGCACCCAAACATTTTATCCACGAGGCTGTAAACGAGATAAAGATCGTCACATTTACAGCTCTGTTCTTGTCTCAGGTACCTGTACAGCGATGAGATCGACCTGGAGGCGGACACGGTGCTGGCCACCCTCTACGCCGCCAAGAAGTACATAGTCCCCGCACTGGCCAGAGCCTGCGTCACCTTCCTGGAAACAAGTCTGGAAGCCAAGAACGCCTGTGTGCTCCTCTCCCAGAGCCGCCTGTTCGAGGAGCCCGAACTGACCCAGCGCTGCTGGGAGGTGATCGACGCGCAGGCGGAGCTGGCTCTGGGCTCGGAGGGGTTCTGTGAGATTGACCTGCAGACGCTGGAAATCATCCTGAGGAGGGAAACCCTCAACACCAAGGAGGAGGTGGTGTTCGAGGCGGTTATGAACTGGGCCGCAGCCGAGTGCAAGAGACAAGGACTAGGACCCACAACTCGGAACAAACGGGAGGTTCTGGGCAAGGCGCTGTTCCTGGTGCGGATTCCTGCCATGAGTCTGGAGGAGTTTGCTAATGGGGCGGCACAATCTGATATCCTGACGCTGGAGGAGACGCACAATGTCTTCCTGTGGTACACTGCAGCCAAGAAGCCTGACCTGGACTTCCCTCTGGTGCCCAGGAAAGGCTTGTCTCCTCAGAGGTGCCACCGCTTCCAGTCGTCTGCGTACCGGAGCAACCAGTGGCGCTACCGCGGCCGCTGCGACAGCATCCAGTTCGCTGTGGACAAGAGGATCTTTATCGCCGGTTTGGGACTCTACGGCTCCAGCGGCGGCAAAGCGGAGTACAGCGTCAAAATAGAGCTGAAGAGACAGGGGGCGATCCTGGCACAGAACCTGACCAAGTTCGTGTCGGACGGGTCGAGCAGCACGTTTCCCGTGTGGTTCGAACACCCTGTTCAGGTGGAGCAGGACGCCTTCTACACGGTGAGCGCGGTGCTGGACGGCAACGAGCTGAGCTACTTCGGTCAGGAGGGCATGACGGAGGTGCAGTGTGGGAAGGTGACGTTTCAGTTCCAGTGCTCCTCGGACAGCACCAACGGGACGGGAGTCCAGGGAGGACAGATCCCAGAGCTGGTGTTCTACGCATGAGCCGCTGGCTGTACTGATGACTCTTAGCTAATGTAGCAGTGAGGACACCAACGGGCCTGGCTCCATCTGAGACTCTTTAAAAGAAAGGAGCTCTTGTTTGGTCTTATTTAATTTAACGTTATTTTTTATTTAAGCTGGTTATTTCTGCTGCCGGTGGCTACGTCACCAGCCGAGCCTGGCTCCAGCTCCAGCAGCAAGATCCCACCAAGAGCAGGATTCATGTGGTGTTCTGATCATAAAAGCAAAAAAGGAAGGCAGCGGTCCATCAACGACCGCTGTTTTGCACTTCAGACGACGGCCTTTTGTAAAATGCTGTTTGGCTGTTGGCAGCTTGCTGCTGGTAAACACCTGATGTGTTCTGTACAAGAAAGCTTCTCCAGCTGATAATAAAACAGGTCATTCTGGTGCTGAGCTGGTTTGTGAGGGGCTGCAGCGCCCCCTGGCGGTGAAGCTGTGAACTACAGCCTGGTTTCTCCTGCACCAGGGTCTCACACACACTCATTGTGAACGGAAACGTGAGAACTACGATGTCCTGGTGTGTTCAGGACATCAGATATTTCAGCCTTTGTTAGAATAGTGATGATTCTGGCTCACAGCTGATGAAACCCCCACACCCAACACATCAGACTATAAGAATATTGTGAAATCTTCAATGTTCTAAACCCAGTGTCACTCTAACCAGCTGATGAACCCAGAACACCTGCAGAGGGTTCCTGAGGGCCGGTGTCCAGCACATTTTAGTGGTTTCTCTGCTCCAACAGTCACCTGCACTAGCTCATCAGGCTCTGCAGAAGCCTGTTAATCACCTGCTGTTTGAAATTAGGTGTGTTGGAGCAGAGTTAAACCTAATCAGTGTTGAAAGTCGGGTTGTAACTGCTGAGAAGCCTCAGAGCTGCGCTGACTCAGCGTTCAGTCGTACCTATAGCTGGGGCGTTGATGCACAGCTCTCTGGCCAGGAGCAGGAAGGTCCGTCCCAACACGTAAACGTTCACCTGCAGAGGACACAGGAGCACCTGATGAGTGAGGCGTGTCTGACAGCAGTCATCAAAACCATTGGAGCCACTCCCTGGATTGTTTCAGGCTCACTCAGCTGTTGTGTCACCGGCAGGTTAATGCTTCTGCTTACGTAACCCAACCCAATCCTTCACCTCAATATGTGTGATTAACCGTGGCGCTCTGATGTGATGTGAGGGTCTCCGGCGTTAACAGCTGCTTCCATTATTATAATCCTCCTTTAGCTGTAGCCGCTGGTCCTGACCCGTCTCCCCTCTCCGTGTGGTTTCGTGCAGCGATACGCCTCCCTGTCTGACGTTTGACTCAGGAAAAGACTCATACTGATGAATCCGAACCGTTCCTGCTATCTGAAACGTTACGGGATGGCAGGGGCACAGGAGTTAAGTGCTCGCCCCGCAATCGGAAGGTTGCAGGTTCGAGCCCCGCTCAGTTTAAGATAAGATAACACAAGTGGGGAATTTGTTTCGTTTACAGCCAAGTAAAAGTAAAAGTTATGCAGCAGAGGGAGAAATGACTAAAATACAATAAGTTCGATCGTAATGAGATAAAATAAACTCAATACAATAGACAATTTATACCTTAAGAATGGGTTAAAAAATAATAACCATACTAGATACAGCTTAGAAATACAGAGTACACTTCATCCAACAGATTTGTTTGTACAACTGAGTTGTTGTAAAGTTTGTCGCTGTCGTTGTGTCCTTGGGCAAGACACTTAACCCATGTTGCCTGCTGGTGGTGGTCGGAGGGACCGGTGGCGCCAGTGCTCGGCAGCCTCACCTCTGTCGGTGTGTCCCAGGGCAGCTGTGGCTACATTGTAGTTCATCCCCACCAGTGTGTGAATGGGTGAATGACTGATTGTGTTGTAAAGCGCCTTGGGGGGCTCCAGGACTCTAGAAGGCGCTATATCAAATACAGGCCATTTACCATTTACCTTGAGACGAGTCATCTTGTTTTCGAGGGGCCCTTAGAACAAACGATACACAATACTTCACATTCACAACCAACAATCATACAGCTCGCCAAAGTATCTCAAAAACAATCCCTGCAACGCTTCAATACGACAGATCTAAACATTGGGAGCATCGTTGTAATTGCAGCACAAGAACCTAATGCAGGTCCTGCTTTAGGCTGGTTGGGGAAGACCTGAACGCTCTCACTCGTTCCCGTGTTTCCTCAGAGCTCCAACCAGTCCCACCTATTTACCAGAGTCTCTACAAACAGCTTAAATCAATCACAAAGGCCTGATCAGCTGTGGAAAACCATGCAAACAGCTCCAAGAAGGAAGAACTTGAAAACTGGAAACTGCAGCAACAGGATTCACATGGAGGGTCTCAGCTGTCCACAGTCCTGACATGCTGCTGCACATTGGTCATGTGCATACATGCTGAACAAGCTACACCTGCATCAGGAAAGGGCTCTACTTATGTGCTCTAGGGCTTTCACAACATTCAGTCATTTAAGTTACGCAACACGGGCCAAGTGATGTGGGTGGGGAAGCCTGAGAGCAAATAGTGGGCTATAAATGCCCCACAGCCACAGCATTAATCACCCAACCCACCCAAAAATCCACTTCAAACCCACTGGTAGCCTCCAAATACCAGGGTGGGGTAAGGGGTGCACCCGGACAGCTGAGTGCTTAAAAATAAAAGTCTCAGACCAGCTGTGGCTGAGAAATGTCCCATCACCACCACACCCCAGACTCACTGGGAACTGCTGCCAGTAAAAATACAGGCAAATGGATGTTTTTAAGTATTCACACACACACACACACACACACACACACACAGTTTAATTACAATGGGATGGTAGTGTTCAGGAAGGTGACTTGTTGCTTTAAAGGCAGCTTTTCTTGCTTTTAGCACCCCCTAGGGTCCTTTACTAATTCTCTGTGGTCAAACCTTTGTCCTTCCTGTGTGTTCGTCTTTTAACACCTTTATCTAAATTCTAAAATGTCTCCTCAGCCTTCATTAGTGTCTACCGGAGTGATTCATCACTAAATTAAACAAATCAGCGTTGTTCACGATCTAAAACATGCTGGAACCAGACTGTAATGCCAGGTATGTCAGCTCCATTTTTTTGCAAGTCCAACAGGTGGCGGCCTGCCAGTCAGAAGTTGCAAATCAGAATCAGAAAAAGCTTTATAGAGCTCCGGACCCCACGTGACTCTCAGTTAGTAGACGCAGAATTGGCAGGAAAAAAAGGTAAACAAACACGGATCGTAAACATGAACATGAACGGGCCTGGCTTGGATTTTACGTCGTCGGAGTTTACTTCACACTTTAAAACCGAAGAAATCGTTTTATAAAGTCAGAAATTAAATAGACTAAACATCTCCGACCCTTACTGTGCCTCTGGGATACTTTTTAAAAACGCCAGAAGCTGTCGGAGCGGGCTTCTTACCGGACCTGGCCGGGGAACCCCTTGGGATTTCCCCGGAGGAGCTGGCCCAAGTGGCTGGGGAGAGGGAAGTCAGGGCCTCTCGACGCTACTGCCCCCGCAACCCGACTCCGGATAAGTGGGTGAAAATGGATGGATGGACAAATAACAGATTTACACGTAAGTAGTTTAAATAGAGTGCTGTGCTGTTTGAATGTATAAACTGAACACCAAGAGAAATCTCTAGTCTGATTTGTTTTCCGTGAATAAAATAAATATGTCAGGCAGGAGCGTCTCAGGATCTGTCTGAGATCTGACTCGGTGAGACAGATAATAGCAATCCAAAGTGCTTTTTATGTGTGATCTGACAATTGATCAACCATTGCTTAAAAATGAAATACAGCTTAGCCGGTTAATTGCTGTGATCATAAAACACGTAAACAGCAGCACGCAGAACTCACGAGGCAACGTTTTACGTGACGTTTACTTGTTGCTATGAGTAATAAGACAGAAAAAGCCACGCCAAAATAAGTTTAGGAAGCCCACTAAGAATCATAATAAAAGCATTTAAAATAAACACCATACACAGTTGAGGAAACGTTGGTTTAAGTACCTGATATGAAGCGGTCGCTGCATAAGCGAAAACCTTCTCTCGGGATCCCACAGCTTCATTTTAGCCCGGTCACTAACGCGTTTTATTACAATGATCCAACGTTTGCGGCGCTCCGGATCTTGGGGAATCCTGTAGATGGCTCATTCCTTATGTCGTCCGCGTCTGTTCTGCATCCTGGGGCACAACAGGAATCTACCATATTTCCCGTTTGATTGAGTTTTCTGACAATAACAAATAGTCCAGCTGCTGGCTTCTGCCTGCCAATATGGCGCCGTTTCGATTTGAACTGTTGCATGCCGGGAAACGTGATATCAACTTCCGGAGCTCTATTGCCAGTGCTCCAGTGACCCAGAGCATAGGAACTTGACTCCGCAGCACAGCCTGACCAAGGTTACACACACACATGTAGACAGAACAGATACAGGCAGACCACGAGAGCAAGTCTATAACTGATCATTCAAGTCCTCCAGTGAAGCCAATTCAGGCTTTTAACATCTCCACACCGTCCGGTGACCGACATCCATTTTGCGCACTAATGCCGGTAACACAGCTAGAACGCTGTCCAGCTTACGATTCACCTCGAGTAACGTCCCAGTCTGTAAGGTCCCCACATGAACGGTGCTTTCCGTGGGTGCGGATTGCCCTCCAATCGCTCCCGTCTTCCCAAATTTCCAGATAACCAGATATCCTCCCACTCCAATCAGAAGAAATCCAGTGATCATCAGGCCAAACATCCACACATCTTCGACGTCCTCAGTGGACAACTGGGAGAGGCATATGATCCTCCATTCTTTCCAGGAATCGAGCATATACCCCGCCGGGTGTGTCCCTTGCGGGCAAGTGGGAGCCCCCTGCTCCGTTCTCATCATTGAAAAAATCGTATCAATCGCGTTGAATGACCAATTAATTAAATCCATTTCTAAAAATTAGGGTTTTTCAGGAGAAGTGCAGAGAGGCTCTCTGTGGGCAGACCGGACAAAGAGCCTTGGGAAAAAAAAGATAAGAGAGCAAAGAGGGAAGCGTCTGTACTCTGCGAGTGCCAGAAGAGAAGAGCATTATTCTGGCCACAGAGGGTGGTGGGTGTCTGACTGACATTTAATTAAGCCTGTAAAGGGCCATTTTTGCACATAGTGGCTCATGAAAATGATTTAAAAATAGGAAATAGTTTCATAGTGTGGCTTTAAGATAAAGTGAGAAGCATCAAGTTTTTAGTATTAGTCAAGAAATGTCTGATCAATCAAAAACATTCATACTTTAAGTCTTTAAAATAATATTTTTTCCCTGCAAACAGATTTTTCCTGTTTCTGAAGGTTTCACAGACCTGAGAATTGACAGAAAAAAATCACAAATACATCTTTGAACCGTACCTGCAGAACGTCACTGAGATCCAGCAGCATGTCTAGGAAAACTGGTCAAGGAAAGAAGAAGTAAATAAGGGTTCAGACGCTGGTTTGGATTTTATCTGGTGAGGTGGGAAAGTGAAAAACAACAAAACGATTGAGACACAGAAAATTCATGACCAGACTTCTTTAGTTCTACTTAAGTTCTTATAATAAAAACACTCCAAGCAATACAGAAAAGCAATGTTGGTCAAAGATTAACCATCTCAGAGATTATGCTCCATCACGCATAGTACAGGGAATCCTCAGGGACGTATACTCGGTCCTTTGATCTTCATTCTACCATAGGACAAAATCTACACAAACTAACAATGATGGTGCAAATGTAGTTGGGCTTATCGGTAAGGATGTAGGGATGCACTGATGGATCGGCATTTGATTCCAATGGGCTGATTGCACCCCTATTGGTTTTGATCGGAGTTTTCAAAATAGATCAAAGCAGACCGATCAGGTAGGGTTGTCACGGTAACCGGTTTAGTGGTAAACCCCGGTAAAAAAAAAAGTTGACAATAATAATAACCGTCTTGTTTTTAAAAAAAAACTATATTATCTCGGTGGATTACCGTGGCTGCGTTGTAGGCGCGGTGACCCTTACCAGCCACCGTATCATCTGCTGAAGTTGCCGGCGGCACATGCGCGCTTTGTTGTTTACAACCAAAACTTTCTTGAAGCTAAAGCTGAAATAATGGCCAAAGGAGGAGACGGCAGCGCTCAGGAGGACATTTTTTATCCCTCAAAGAAGACAAAGTCGGAAGTATGGGCATCTTTTGGATATTTGAAGAATGTCGAGGGACAGTTGATAGAAGACGGCTATCCTGTTTGCAGCGCGAGCAGAAAAAGTGTCTGTGAAAGGCAGCAACGCTTCAAATCTCATGACACATCTGCGTGACCATCACCCACAACTCTACAGCCAACGCAAGGCAAGCTAACGTTAGCGTTTTAGCTTAAATGCGTGATCCGAGGATTTGGGTTGAGGGAGAATGCAACGAGTCGCTATATAAAGCAGCCGCAGCGCCGCTACCTGCATATAAACCGTGTCGCGGACACCGCCATATTGAAATGACGCTATGCATTATGGGGCTCCCGGGGCAGATAGGAGTTGGCCTCTCTCCGAGAATAATTATGAATTTAACAATGATTACTGCCTGATGACATTTTCCCACATCTGCAAAGCTCACTGGAAGGACACAAACCGAGGACAATATTTTCCTGATATAGGGTTTATTACTCAAGTAAGGGTAAAAAAGTATCTGATTAGAAGGCTACTCGAGTACTGAGTATCATCTGATCTAATATTTTTAAATGATGACATCAAACAGACATGAAATAAGAAGTTATGGGCAAATATTGGTATTTTAAAGACTAAAGGGAAAAAATGTAAACAAATAAACAACATAATTACAAAATAACACATTTTAGGCTAAATTTAGACACAAACTGAGGACAATATTTCCTGACATACAGGGTTTATTTAATTGTGTGAAAATGTAGCACGTTTAAAAAAAAATACCACGATAATACCAAAAACCGTGGTAATTTTGGTCACAATAACCGTGAGGTTAAATTTTCACACCGTGACAACCCTAATACATACCATTTTAGATTAGGTTACATTTCCTTTATTCCCAGATTATGTAGTTTGTAGCACTCATTATAATGTTGTAGAAAATTTCTGGCCAATCCACGTGATCGGTATCGGTGATCGGTATCTGTGATCAGCATTCTTTGATATCGGTATCGGTGATCGGCAGCAAAAAACCTGATCGGTGCATCCCTAGTAATGATGGGTGTTTCGACCACGCCAGTCACGAACTTTGAGATTTATCAGCTTGTAAAAGTTCGTAATTAGCATGAGTACACACCAGAAATCGGCACGTCACTTATGTGACATCACCACATAAGCTCCTCCCCCCTAGCGTAGCTGCTACTTAACACATGACCAGATTTATGGTGGTTCTTTCCTCCTGTGGGACGTTTGCTGAACTTGCAGCCCTTTTCCCTCAGTTTTCTCCGTGTCTGGTTCGGTGACGTCACTTTCGTGAAGCAAATATGTAGTTCTTGACTTATTTTCACACAAAACCTAAACTTGCGTTTCCCCCGTTTGGTATCAAATGTGTCTTAAAATTCACGGACATCATATGTGAAATCCATGGCACAAAACAAGCGGAATTAGAAAATTGTGTTTTTAGCTCCATAGACTTGCATTCATTTTGTCATTCTTCCAGGGACCTGTGGTCTGGAAGTAGATGGGTGTGACGTAGGCTTCTTATGGGGCGTCTATGCATTCATGTCTATGGTCGTAAGGCTTCTGCAGGTGGGAACAGCAGACTAAAAATAAATCACAGATCCTGATTGTAGGATGGATGGAGGGTAAAACTAAGGTTATTAAAATTAAGACTGGATAGAACAGAACTGCAGAAACAGAAGGTAAAATCACATATGGAACAGACAGCAGGAGCAGCGTTTTAAAACAGCACACGGCTCTATTTAAGCCAACAGACATCAGAATTTCACTTTCTAAGAAAAACAAACTGCTCTTCTTACCATAAACGAACAATTTCTAATGTCTGGTGAAGATTTCAGAACCAGAGTTCTGTAAACGCGTGCATCATCTACATGAGGACAGAAAACTTATCCGACACGGCGGTTAACATCTTTGACCAGATGACACACGGGCTCATCTCCGTGGTGATGGTGTATCCGTGGCGACAGGTGCATCAGTCAGGCTGGATTACTGGGGCTTCTCTAAAAAAAAGCAGCACAATAAAATCTGCAGCAGTGCTCATGAAACAAAAGATAATCCCAATACACGTCGTCTGGAGATTACAGACGACTCGCTTAATGGGGAAAATAAAAGCTGCAGGTTCTCAAAACACATCTGGGCCCGTTGAGGAACGAATCCACGAATCTTAGTGTGACAAGCCGACAGATGGAAGACGGGAGGATGTTTGTTGATGTTTGTCATGGTGTCATGAGAAAACCTACAAGGCAGCACCCTAACTGATGGAGTCAGCGTCATCCACGACAGTAATGTTATTAGCTTCGCTCCTGCTGCTGAGAGCAGGCAAGACCTGGATCCCACAAGCTACTAACGGATTCTCATGGTTCTGGTTTTAGAAGCCCAACACAACAGGAAGACTACGACCTGCTGTGTGGAAAACCTGCTGTTCCCCAACAGCAAAGCCTTCATGGAAACAGCTTGTGAAATGTACACGAGGGAGACACCGTGAGGGACGTGCAACCACCTCAAGATGACACCAAAGCCCTGTGTGAGAAGCATCATCTGTCCCACTCCTGACAGACAGCTTTCCAAACGGGAAGATGATTTTCTGACTTAGGAAACGGTCAGAGCTCCTGGCTGCAGTCCTACTCCTCACTCATTCATTCATTCTCTGGGCCTTTCTTTTAATTTGCTTGAATTATTTCTCTAAATTAGAAACAAAGGTCTTCGTCTATCAGGAAGAACGTGAAGCAGCTGATCTTTAGGTGACCCTGTTCCAGGCACACGGAGCTCTTCTCTACTGTTGCTGCTCATTAAATCCGACTCCGGGTTAGACGTTAGATGTCTCTCCTCCCTCCTTCATCTTTGTCCCCATCCTCTCCTGCACTACGGATTCACCCAGCTGTAGAGAGGGAAGTGAGCAGAGCTATTTTTACCCAGGCCTTCCTCCTCACCTACACTCACAAATCCAGCCAGCAATGCAGCAGGAAGACTTTATGCCTCTCGCCTCCGTTTCATGAGAAACCCACTCAGGCTTCCTGTGCTGGACGTACACAACAGCATCGTCCTGGCAGGCAGAGTCCCGGCTGAGCCGAAGTCTACGGGAGATGCTCTAGTCTTAAACTAAGCTCAATGTCAATGTTAGAAACAAACAAACTCTTCTACACCCACTAGAAGTGTGTTCATTCTGCAGCTCCCCTTCCTTTGCTTGTTTAGTCACCTTCTTTGGTCTCTGGTTATGTAAATGTTGCCGTTTTGAGGGCAGATCGGTGCTGCGTGCTGCATCTGTAAAGCTCGTCCTCATGGACATGACAACAGAAAGGATACGCGGCGTTCCCTCGGTTCGACAGACCAGGTAGAGGCAGGCGGCGATGACATGGGACGACTTACGTCCACGGGTCAGGCTTTTATTGAGCGCCATCTTGTAGAAGTTAAAGGCCGTGTCCAAACAGTGCTGGCTCATCTGCAGCTGGTGGCCCAGAGCGCTGATTTGCTGTTTAGCTGAAAAGGCATCAGAAGTAAAGTTCATGATCAGGAAGAAACATTTCAGTAGGGCTGCATCCCCACAATCACACCCAGCTCCAGTAGATCAGCTGGGATAACAAGTATTTACTATAAATACAGGAGGTAAATGATATTACCTGCAAGCTGCGCTCACATTAAATGTTTGAGTTTGAATTTATTTTTTGCAAGATAATCGTGAATATCATTGCTGAAGATTCCTGAAGCTGCCCCCCCACACCAAAGGTGTTTCTAGTGGGGCTGTTCCCGATCCGATGCTGCGCTAACCTTGCATAACTAACGCCCATCATTCATACTTAAACTTTAAACATTATCTGTGCAAAATGTTGCAGCTACTTCCATTTAAATTGGGCCTGCTGTGGCTGATAACAACTGTGAATCTATACCTTGTTTCTGTCATATGTGAGAGGAGAAGCAGCTGAATACCTTGATGGTGTGCAAAAGTTGCATCAGAAATGGAGTAAAAACCAATAAAGTTCATTTTTGATGTTATTTTTTCATGTCAAAAGCCAAAATCATCAAAAAGTTTACATAACAGAACAACAATAACGTATTCAGAGATTAGTTTAGCCCTCCTCATCTGTGATGCTGAACCAGACATCTGGCCTGTACGTAGTACTGTAGTATTACCGTAATACACCCAGCATTAAAAAAACGTAACGGTGTCGGTTCCAATACCGTCATGAAAAAAGCAGGTGCACGTAAGAGACGAGGAATTAAAATAAAGGTAAATAAAAGCAATGTAAAGTATAAACCAGATGTGTGTTGAATTTTCACTTTACTTAAACATTTTAAAATATATTTTTCCAACTTTTGAGACGCTCCATAAAGTTTATTAATGTGACACCATCACTTGACAGAGACGGGGGTGTTTCTCGATGTCAACGAACCTTGCCTTGACCTCTTGGCCCCGCCCCGGTTGCCTAGGACATACGTCATCGGGAGCCACCAAGACATGTTCCAGTGTATCATGTTCTACCGAGGCGTGTTCTCCGTTTGTTAGCCGTGTAGCTAGCTGAGCGAGGACATGGGGGGTGTCTTGTAGCCTAGCCTTGGTCAAAAATTACCCAGAATACACCGCGGTATTTTCAAAAAGACGGCGGATCAGAAGCCGGCAGCTACTTCGGGGACAATTTTCAAGTTTAAAAGTAAGTCAACTAACTTAAAATGTTTTTTTTTGGATCCAAAGAAGTTATTTATGGTTGGTTAGTTGCTTAGTAGTTGCAGCTTCGGTGGCTAGCGGGTAGTAACTTAATTATATTTTTAATTTAATAAACATATATACAATTTAAAAAGTAAAAGGCTCGTTATATATTGATATTGAAACTAATACATCTAAATTTAATGTTATCTCCCGTGTCACGGGATGTTACGTGACCGCCGTGGAAGCCGTGGTCACGTGATGCAAGTCTGTTCCATTTAACCGTTTTCTTTGACCAAGGAAGGACAGTGTCCTCGTTGGCAAGGCGCCTGGCCTCGCAAGATATCGCCTCGCAAGGCCAGGCGCCTTGACATTGAGAAACACCCGGGGAGAAAAATAGCAACAAAGACAGGTCACCATCAGCCTGTGGGTGTTTCTCAATGTCAAGGCGCCTTGCTTACGAGGACACTGTCCTTCCTTGGTCAAAGAAAACAGTTAAATGGAACGGACTTGCATCACGTGACCGCGGCTTCCACGGCGGTCACGTAATGTCACGTGACACGGGAGATAACGTTATAGTTTTTACATATTAGTTTTAATATAAGTATATAACAAGCCTTTTACTTTTAAAATTGTGTATGTTTGTTAAATTAGAAATGTAAGTGAGTTACTACCCGCTAGCCACAGAAGCTGCAAATACTAAGCAACTAACCAACCATAGATAACTTCTTTGGATCTAAAAAAACATTTTAAATTAGTTGACTTATTTTTAAACTTGAAAAATGTCCCCAAAGTAGCTGCCGGCTTCTGATCTGCTATCCTTTTGAAAATACCGCGGTGTATTCTGGGTAATTTTTGACCAAGGCTAGGGGAAGTTTGAAGTGTGTTGCCATGTTGTCGGAGAAAATCCGCTTTTAGTGTCAATGTGACAGTCAGCATAATGGGGTATTGGGTTGGGCATGGTGGCACTATACCCATGAAGTGTGCTCCCTGAGCACCAGGGTGGCTTGGGCATGCCATGCTGGCCTCATGCTCAGGCTACACTACAAGACACCTCCCGTGTATCCTCACTCAGCTAGCTAAACGGCTAACAAACGGAGAACACACGCCTCGGTAGAACATGAACATTGGAACATGTCTTGGCGGCTCCTGATGACATATCTCCTAGGCAACCGGAGCGGGGCCAAGACATCAAGGCGAGGTTCCTTGGCATTGAGAAACACCCATGATTTCATAGCCTCCTTTCGCTTCCTCTAATGTGTGTGTGCCAATGTTCACTGGGTTTACCATCGCCTCTGACTTTTGCTTCCAGAGTTCACCATGATGCCAACAAAAAAGCAAACTTATTTTTATTTACAGTCGTTAAGCAGGTAGACAGTGCCCTCTAGGGCACCTACCCGCCCCACAAAACTGTTAAGTGCTGTTTCTGGTCAGTGTTGTTCCATGTGAAGTTAAAGTTTCCACCAACACAATAACTGAGCTTTTAAACGTGCGAAACACTGAAAACACATTTTTTAGTGATTATTTCTTATATAATTGGTCTCTGAGTTTAGCATGCAGGCTGATCCTGAAAATAGTCTCCTAGGCTTTGCCGGGCCCGGGCATTCCCAGCTCTAGCTCCAAACATTTCTTATCAACCCCAAATGTTTTTCGCCCCAGGAGTTTATTGAAGGAGGCAGTTTTGTAATTTCCTGGCTTTAGTGAATGCAACACATGCACGATGGTATGACCAGTCAGAGAGCAGTTGTGCAAAGGAGGGTAAATCTGTCTCCAAGCGATTATTATATGTATTCCCACACATCAGGAAAGTTCATAAAATTCTCCAGGTCAATGTTCTGCTTTGTGGTTTTTAATTTTTTGAGGACATTCGTTCGTTTCGATAAGCTTCTTTCACTGCATGTTGGACTGACCCAGGAAACTTAAACGTCATCATGTTTGCATTTTATATTCATCGTATATACAAATATGCACATGCAGGCGTAAAATGTAAATATCCAGATGTGAGAAATTTGATCTATTTTAACCTTTGAGTAGCATCTATTAATTTCTGTAATAAAACTATAATTCAGCCGTTTTCCATAAGAAATTACACTAATCTTGTTGCAAAGGTCAGTTCCCTTTTGATAACATCTATAGGGTTCCCAAGTCTCCTCCCTTTCCAGGCGGCTCATGGGTCCCTGGAAGAATGAAGCAATGAATGCAAGTTAACGAAGCTAAAAGAGTTATTTTCTAATCTGCTTTGCCTCACGCCCTGGATCACACACGTTGTACTGCAACTTAAATGAAAAGTAATGATGGGTGTTTCGACCACGCCTGTCATGTACTTTGAGATTTATCAGCTTGTAAAAGTTCGTAATTAGCGTGACTACACACCAGAAATCTGCACGTCAAACATGTGACGTCACCACATAAGCTCCTCCCCCCTAGCGTAGCTGCTACTCACCACATGGCCAGATTCATGGTGGTTCTTTCCTCCTGTGGGAAGTTTGCTGAACTTACAACCCTTTTCCCTCAGTTTTCTCCGTGTCTGGTGTGATGACGTCACTTTCGTGAAGCGCATTTGTGGTCCTGGACTTATTTTCACACAAAACTTAAAATATTGTTCCCCGCTGTTTGAAAATGAGCACGTTCTTGGTATCACACTGTGTCTTTAAAATTCACAGACATCATGTGTGAAATCCATGGAACGAAACAAGCGAGTTAGAAAATAACGTTTTTAGCCCCGTTGACTTGCGTTCATTTTTTTCGTTCTGCTGGGGACCCGTGGTCCGGAAGTAGATGGGTGTGGCTTAGGCTCCCTATCGTGACAAAATTAATATATTATACTGCGTCTACAGGTGATCTAGGAAGGACAAAGAATGAAGAGAATGGCAGACACCAAGCAACGGGACAGAAGGAAGGCCATCACATACAAGTGATCTTGTTTACATTGTCACATAGAAGTTTGAAAATAAATACAATTTGATGTAAATATTGCAGCATTTGGCTTTAAACAAGGTGCCACAATGCTCAACAAAGCTATAATAGGAAGTTCCCCCAGACTCCTCTATAAGGGTCTGGGCTTGGCCCCCAATGTTCTAAGGGACAGGAAACACCCCTGTCTACACCTATCTCCTGCGATAGGTTCAGATAGAAAATCCTGCCGTGTTAAGCTTTCCTTTGATGTGGCATTCTACTAGTTCGTGAAACAAGCGCATCGGAGCTCCACCCCCACCCCGAATACAACTTGCAACGCATTAATTCCTATGAGAGACCACTGAAAATGGATTGATTAAACAAGTGTCCCACACCTTTAAAGGAATTAGTTTAAGTGTTTAAAACTGCTTAATGTTGCTTTTACTGGTCCTTTAGCCAAACCAGCTGGTCCTCACAGTGCTAACAGCTAAATACAGGAACGTCCATGATTCACGTTCCTCATCGTAGCACCACCTGAAAACACAGGAAGCCTGACCTCAGGATCCAACTAGACAGGTCTGAGACACATCAGTGTGGTTTTAGAATCACTCTGAAATGACTCACAGGGCTTTAACACACACACACACACACACACTCTAGAGACAAACACAAACACATGTTCCCCATCACAATCTCCAGTTCCGGTTTAACAGCTGGTGGAGATTCATGATGACAATGATGTTAAACCCAGGTGTGTGTGTGTGTGTGTGTGTGTGTGTGTGTGTGTGTGTGTGTGTGTGTGTGTGTGTGTGTGTGTGTGTGTGTGTGTGTGTGTGTGTGTGTGTGTGTGTGTGTGTGTGCGTTATGCTCCCTACATATGGAGGATCTCACACACACACACACACACACACACACAAGCAGATGTGTGACCTACTGAGCGTGA